AGGTTTGTGATTAAAATTGTTTGTAAAATCTGAAGGTAAATCAGAATCCTCAGTCATATTGTTTTTAACAATAAAATCTTCATAACTGGGTAAATTATTTGTAATATCAAACTTATCAACCTCATCATCTAGACAAACATCTGAATTTAAAATATTTGAAAAATTAATTTCTTCATTAAACGCATTTATTTCTTCTGAGTCATTAGCTTCACTTAAAGATTTGTCGCACGAAAAATACTCAGACTCAGCWTGTTCCGTTTTCTTTATAGAATTTTCTAAAGATTCAATTTTATCTAAAAATTCTTGTTTTTGTTTGTCAAATGAAAGTCTTTCTTCATTTAAAGTCTTTTCCAGCTGAACCACTTGTTTTTCTAAAATAAGAGTAGGAATATAAGGTTCAGGTTCAACTGGTTTTGCTTCAAGCTCTGCTTTTGAATAACTATGTACAAAATCTGTTGAAACTACAGAGTCTTGATCTTTGTAACTTTCATTTAATTTTGAATAATTAAACGGAACTTGCATCTTGTCTTTTCTTTGACGATTAAGATCTTCTTTTTGTTCAACCTCGTCAGAAGATTTTGTAAATTTTACAAAATAATCGGGACCGCAAAAAATATATTGAGAATTATATAAGATCGGGGCAGAATGTAAAACTTTTTCTAAATATTTAGGATTTTCAAACCCCAACCCTTCCTGAGGATTAAAATATCTTGCTTCAGATGGTTTGTTTAGAAAGATGGTTTGATCAGTTTGTCCTCTTTTGTATAAAATTTCTTCTTTAGCCTTCAGAGTTTTATTTAATTGAATTATTTGAGAATCAAGCTTACTTATTCTAACAATATGTTCTCCATTAGTTAATTCTAATGATTTATATTTTTCCTTCAAATTAGATAATTCAGAATTTAAAGCATTGGATTTTTCCTCAGACAATTTAGACTCAAATTGTAAAGACTTAGCCCAATTCAAGTTTCCAGCATTTTCAATATATACTTTGGTATATCTTTCTTTTAGCGTTTTWAATTGATCTTCAAAATTATTTGAACGCAATTTTTCTGATTTTAACTCTTGCTGGAAAGTTTGAATTTGGARTGTCATCTTKTTCATCTGTTTAATGCAAGATTGATGTATTACTTCATTCTCCTTATAACTCTCGATGTTCTTTTCCAGCTCAGCAATCTTAGCTCTCAACTCCTTTATGATATCTGCCATTAGTGAAAAAAAATAGATTAGTTATAGGATCTATGCAGTGAAATCAGATAAAAGAAACAAGAACAATTTAAGCTAAAAAAGAATAGAAAAACACAAAAACTGATGAGAATTTATAAAAAAACGACGAGAAACTGTCAAAAAATCAGTAAAAACAGTCAAAACCGTTGAAAACAGTTAAAAACTGTTAAAAACAGTCAAAGACAGTTTAAACTGATGAAAAACAGTTTATACGACAAAACAGTTCAAAAATTTCTCAAACAGTTAAAAACACAACCAAAACAAATAAACGAAATGATCCAAAAATAAAATCTAAACAAAAACAAAAACTCAAAAACAAAACCACAAAAACAAATGAGCTCAACAAAACTGATACTAAACTAGACAGATCAGACTTTATCAATTCAACGATTTACACTTCAACGATCCGAAGTCTTAAACACATACACATACAAATACAAACAATTCATGTTCAGAAAACATACTTAAAACTTCACGAAACAGAATTCTTTTATATTCTTGAGATAAAACAAAGCAAAACTCCACCAGCAGTCTCTAAACCAAGAAATCTTGCACCTTCACCACTCAATATAGCAGCTTAGACAACAGAATTGTTCAGGATTGCACACATGCACTATGTCTTTTTGCAATCACAACAACAATTGCAATAGGGAAATTACAACAGAAACCTGATTAACCCACAACAAAATGAACAACTATTGTTACCAGCACCTTTAAGCAAGAAAAACAGCACAACAGTTTTTTTTTCAACAGTTGTTACAACTCTGATTCAGGTGAATCTTTGCTGCCTTCAAAACTTCTTTTCTGCCTTCATGAATTACAGATTGAAGCAACAAAAACAGAATGCAAAATTAGGAAACTCCTCAGCAAAGATCAACACAAACAGGTTCTGTAAATCTTAGAACAATTTAATCAAAATCAGCAAACGAATGTGCTCAAAACAGAAATCTTCATTCCTTTTCTTATCTACTAATAACAAACATACTCCACAAACAATTCAACAAACACAGTCCCTGCTGCAATCCTCAAATCCTCAAAAAATCTAACTGTTTTAAGCTAGCAAGTGCTCGAATGAATGCAAAATAAAGCAACCAAGACAGTGGCTGATTAAAGTTCAAAAATAGACAATGAGCAGTTTCAAGAAATAGCAGAAACCACGAACTGCCCTTAGAACCTGTTGGACAGATTTTATTCAAACAGGCTGTCCATACGTTGAATATATCTAAGTCTTAAACAGCCTGTGTTTTTGATCAACCAAACAGATCTAAAGCCTTGCACCAGTTAAATCTGTGTACAATGTATTCAATCCAACCAAGAACGAATAAGCTTCGGTCACTAAGAGGCTGTATAATGTTTAAGAACCAACCTAAACTTCACAAGCTTAACAGTCTTTGAATACTGTCAAGTCCGCTCAAAATTACCTAAATCTGCTGTTCATACAAAATGTAAACACATCAAGTTCAGGCCATGAGAAACTTACAACCTCAGTTTACAGCTCAAACCTTTAAAGAAATAGCAGCTTAATACAACAGTCTGCTCAAATCTGCTTAAAACAGATCATGTATGCTACCTAAACCTGCTGTGCATTACTAAACCAGACTAAGCAGAATAACAACACCTCACTATACAAACTGTGAATTTCAACTGAAAAACAGCAGCAGGTTTGATGTTGCAATCAGACTGTTTCAAAGTAACCAGCAACAATCCAGAAGTCAATTGTTTAAGAAAACCAACCCTCTTGAGAACAACACTGCTACAACGACTTTTAGACAAGCGGTGGTATGAACCAAATTAGATAAAATTTGGATAGAAGTGCGATTTAGGCTAATATGCAGCCTACTCAAAAACAACAAGCACACAGATTAAAGATACAATTCAGACAGGTTATGAACAAATTAAGCCTGTGTTAACAAGTCAGTGATTTAGGTGCAGTTCAAATGATGCTTCAACTCCAATGACTGTACAATCTCAGCTTCAAAACTTCAAAGGTCTGTCCAAGAAGTGAGACAACAGCTTCAAAATCACAGATATCACAGAAAAAAAATCTAAAAACAGATGAAATTGAAACTGGAAATCTGAGATTGAAAGCAGAATCAAACAGATTGATCTTTCAATTGAGTCAAGAACACTGAGTCCATAAGCAAAGCTCCTCTGATGACAATTAATCTGTCTCTGTGTATCTTGTGTCAAAATCAACAGCATAGAAACCTGCTAAACAGTTGCTATATCAAAGGATTTGTGCAAATCTGCTTATTATATCCAGACGATTTAGCAAACAAAGAACATCAATTCAAATTCTAATCGATTAGGTCAAAAGCAACCTACGATTTACCTTGAAACACAACTTACCGATTTAGGATTGAGCGATAAAAAGAACCAGATGAAAACAGTCAAAAATTGAATCGATTCTTGTCAAGGTATTGAGTGATTTACCAAATTGAATCAAGAAACAGTGAACAATTAAGAATCCGGGTAAGATGAATTGAGTGGTTTAGAAGTCCGGACATTTATCCGGTCAAGAAGTGATCGGTTTATATGAACACCGATCAAGAGGTGATCGGTTTAGGAATAAACCGCTCAAACTGAAAACTTGAAATGAGATGAAATAAAAAAGAACAGCAAACCTGTTGACCGATTTAGAGTCCGGATCATTTTGTTGAGCGACTAACTCCTGATTTGAGAGATTAAGACTCCGATCAAGATGATTATCCGGTCAAAGCTTCCATTTAAACCGCTCAAGTATACCGGTCAAGTTATGTGCGGTTTAACCTTTGAGACTAGAATCCGATTGATGCGATGAATCAACTGGTGAACAATCTGGTCAAAAGGTGTGCGGTGTAACTTGTTTAACCACTCAAAATCTGCGATGAGATTTCTTATCCGATCAAGAGGTAGCAATGTAACCGGACTCTTATATGGTTAAGTTTATGATGGGCTTTATGGCATTTTAAGCCCAAAGAAAAACTAAGTCTTTAAACCGGTTGGACTTTGGACGGTTTAACACAAACTAATTCAAACTAAAAATTAAAATCAGATCAAAACTATAAAAAACATAACTAAAAAATTTTAACAAAAAAATGGATCAAAAACCCTGACGTTTAAAAAAAAATCAAGAACACGAAAAAAATTAAAAACACAAAAACCGATTAAATCTTGAAATATAATGATCAAATCACAAAAATTTGTGAATAACAAATATTCACAATTCAATTTCGAGCATTTTGATCCTGTTTTTAACACAAAAACACAAGATTTTAAGAAAAAATCGGATCAAAATCTAAAAAAAATGAAGAACACGAAGAACAAAAAAATTCAGAAAATAAAATCTTAAAAAAAAAACTTCAAAAATCTGATTTCTTCATCTGATTTCTTGCACACTCTGCTCTGATACCAAATGTGTGTCCCTATTCACTGATCAATCTTCATGTTAGCTTTACAATCATGGCAGATCTGATATCTCTTGTAAGAACATCAAGAACATTCATATGAATATTGAGAGGAAAAATCAATGCATCTAAATGTGGTCAAACCTCTTATTACGTATATCAAATTTACAATAAGCTCTCTCCTACTCTAATTACAAAAGAACACTCCCTATTTATATGAACTACTAAACAATAGTCAAAGTCAAACCCCTATAAGAAAAGTCAAACACGACGACTTTTACAATTATAGACAATATTTAACTTTCAAGACGAATACAATTTAATACTGATTTTCAGTCCTAACAAGAAGGGATCGTTTATGACAAAACCTTCGCACCAGTGGCTAGACTCGAAGTTATTTGACTCTTTCTAGCCTTTGCTGCCCATAGAGACTTTAAAGTCTACCAAATGGATGTAAAGAGCACTTTCCTTAATGGAAAACTTCAAGAGGAAGTTTATGTTGAACAACCTCCAGGGTTTCTTGACCTTAAGTATCCAAACCATGTTTATCGTTTGGATAAAGCTTTTTATGGGTTAAAACTGGCTCCTCGTGCCTGGTATGATACCCTTTCCTCATTTCTCATCTATGAGAAATTTGTTCATGGAAAGATTGACCAGACCTTATTTCTTACGAAAGTTAAGGGTCACATCATTCTAGTCCAAATTTATGTCGATGATATTATATTTGGTTCCACTAATCCCTCTTTGTGTTTTCGGTTCGCTGATCACATGAAGAAAGAATATCATATGAGAATGATGGGATAACTAACCTTCTTTTTAGGTCTCCAGATCAAACAATCAGATAAAGGTATCTTTATCAGTCAGAGTAAGTATGTTCGTGACATGCTGAAGAAGTTTGATTTATCAAACAGTTCATCTATGAAGACTCCAATGGCTCCTCCGCTCTCTCTTAACAAGGATCCAAATGGAAAGCCTGTAAACGTAATTGTTTATAGACGAATGATCGGCTCCCTGCTGTATCTAACAGCTAGTCGAGCAGATATCATGTACTCTACCTGCTTATGTGCACGATATCAATCTGAACCTAAGGAATCCTATCTGATTGCTATAAAACGTATCTTCAGATATCTTAAAGGAACTCATAACATGGGTTTTTGGTACCCTAAAGGTTCAGGTTTTGACCTAATAGGTTACCCGGATAGTGATTTTGTAGGTTGCAAAATTGATAGGAAAAACACTACTAGAGGCTGTCAGCTTCTAGGTGGAAAGTTGGTGAGCTGGACATGCAAGAAGCGAAACTCAGTATCCACATCAACAGCTGAAGCTGAATACATAGCAACTGGTAGTTGCTGTGCCCAAATGTTTTGGATGAAAAACCAGCTGATGGACTATGATATTCAGTTTTCAAAAGTTCCTATCTATTGTGATAGCACTAGTGCTATTGCAATTGTAAATAATCCTGTACTTCACTCCAAGACCAAACATACAGAAATCCGATATCATTTTATCAGAGATCATGTTATGAATGGTGACATTGAACTTCATTTCGTTCCAACTGATTACCAGCTCGCTGACCTTTTCACCAAGCCTCTTGATGAGACAAAATTTAACATCTTGATCAGCGATCTGGGGCTGCTAAATGCTGAAGAATAATTTTCAGCTATTAACATTCTTAGTAAGTGAAATGATTCAGTGCTCTATCTCTGACACTGAACTCTTGAGTAAATGTATCTATTCTCTCTAAGGTATGATTACTTATTCCTTTTTCTTACAAAATTTTAAAACTATCACTGAAGCTTTTCTTTTTCAGTGATAAAAATGTTCTAAAAGTTTGTTTCAGTGACTCTTTGTTCACTGAACATTTCTATAAGTATATCTCTATTATACTTATTTTTTTTTTTGAAAATCAAAATGATCACTGAATCTATCCTGTTTAGTGATTCAAATGTTTTGAAATGCCAGGATCAGTGATTCTTCTATCACTAACACTGAAGTCTTAAAAACTATCACTGAAGTCTTTCTTCTTTAGTGATAAAAATGTTTTGAAAGGTCCTTTCAGTGTACTTTTCAACACTAAATGACTCTTCGTTTTCTTAAAAACCTTTTTGTTTTTAAAAGAAATAGTTAATGAACAGTCTTTATGATGACATTCCCTATTTACAATGCGTAACACTTTGAGACGCGCCAAAAGGTACTGTCATACGCTACTTCATTAAATGTCATCCAATCATAGATGAGAACGTGCAATTTTTTTCATTATTGCCCCTTTCCTCAACCGTCGTCTTTTTCTCTCATATCTCTCTCTCTCTCTCCTCCTACCTATAAATATGAGACCTCCTTCACTTTTCTCTTTACATTTTGAAAAATTCAAAGACGAACCTCTGCCGATTTACAAAGCAAGAACTTCTCTCACATTCCTTGATAGGACCTGTAAATTCAGATTTGGTATTTGATCTCTTACTCTGGATGATCTTTAGGACGATTATAGTGCAGTAGAAACAAAGATAAGAACACAATAGAGTAATTAATCAAGAACACACAGTTTGATATGAAGAAGATGAACACAATAGAATAGCTTCAAAGGTTTTTCAATTGATTGAAAAATATGGACGATTACAATACGGACGCACACAGAATTACAAAGGCCTAAGCTGCTATTTATACTAGTTCCTAACGACCTTTCTGACATGACCTAGACAAGTGAAATCATCCAAGCCATCCAAATAAAGTCGATTAAAAACCTAGACACGTGAGAAGCACGTGCATCTAACAACCTTTGAAAAACAGCAGAACAGGTTCTTCACAGAAGACGAATCCGTAAACCCTCTGTGAGCCACCTCAGAGGCTCTGCTGTAGAAGACTTGTAGGTTCTTATTGCCCGAGGACCATTTTCCAGAACCTCTGTGAGAGACAACAGAGGTTCTGTCAATCTTGACTTGTACGATCAAACAACTTCTGTTGCTGGTCCTCTGTTGTCTTCTGTGGAAGAAACCCATCTGTCAACACTTGCAGAAATCTTTTTCATACTTTTACATTAAGCAAATATTGGAGCTAACA